TCCGCGGCGCGGGTGGTGCTGCTGCTTGGTGGCGGGGGAATTTGGTTTTGGGGCTGGGGGAATTTTCTTTGTCTTTTGCGGCGGGATGGGGTTTTTTTGGCTGGGGAGAATTGTTGGGGAAGACGTGGGGGAAGGGATTAATTTAAGGGGTCGGGAAAATTTTGAGGGGGGCCGAGCGCTTCCTTCCTTTATACATATAATATATATATATATATGGAAACGACTCGTATGCGTCAGACACATACTATGCGACAGGATTCTCTACCGTAGATCTAATCTAACGGTTATTATAAATTATATTAAAATTAGTAATAATAATTACTACTTGCACCCCTTAAATAATTATATGTGCTATGTAGCCCCTGAATAATAATTTGCGTTTTATTTTCTCACATGATACCTATTCGTTTTTGTGAGAACTCAGATGATACCTTATTTCTTCTAGATCTTTTAATGAACACCCAAAAATTTTACAATTGATAAAATAAAGTTCCATTAAAAGGTTGCCCCAATTCGATTATCCTAAACCACCATCATCGTCATTACGATTTTTCTAGATACCCCAATTGCAAACCCCTAATTTTACCACCATCATCATCGTCCCTGCTTCTGACCTACATCGACTTTAAATCCTCATCTATTTCCAGAAAACGAAATTAGGGCTTCCTTCTTCTCCATCTCTTTCTAGAAAACGAAACTAGGGTTCTTCCCAAATTTCCTCTTCCCCACGAAGGAGATACACGAAGCTGATCGATGTTTACTCCTCTTCCCCAAATCTTCTTCTAGTTTCTGAACGACTCGGTGCTTCTTCCTTCTTCCCCAAATCCCACTTCTTCTCGGCCGATTCGCGACCCCGCAATCGCGATTTCTCCTGGCCAGAACTTCACGCGAAGGTCAGCCATGTCCAAGCGAGCATCTTCCTCAACTTCGACTCGCATCAATAGCCGAGGGGCGGTACTCTGTTGGCACAAGAAGCCATGTGTGGTGAATACATCTGGAACCGAAGCGAACCCAGGAAGACAGTTCTATGGGTGTCCATTATGGATGGTAAGGTGTTTAGATATGGGTTTTGAAATTGATGTGGATTCTAAGTTAAATGCTCGTATGGTGCAGGACGAGAAGAAGAACTGTCATTTTTTTAGGTGGGTGCGAATGAATGTCGATGAAGATAAGCACCATGACTCTGAAATTGGGTGTTCGACTTTGAATATTGAAGAAAGTTTGAGGCTAGCTGAGTGTAAGGCGGAAAGGAGGAAGAAGGAGAAGAAACTTTTCGCTGAAGAGCTATCAAGATGGATGAAGGCACATGAAATTATGCTAGCTGAAGGAAGGAGAGTTAATCATGAAATCCATGTAATTCGAGCTTTATTGATAGTGATTGTCATACTGAACCTAATATTGGTTATTCTTATGTTGCATCACGTTATTATATGGTAGGAAATTAATCGACATTGGTATGAGAAGCAAAAGGTTTCTGAAAACGTAGTTGTCATCCTAAATGTTGTGTAAAAGCAATTGGTATTTGTGTTCTTAATGTAGTTGTGTTCTTAATGCTTGTTACACTATATTGATTTAAAAAATGCCACACATTTGTCAATTAAGGCTGGCTACATAACTTGGTTTGTCTTGAGGGTACGTTTAAAATCAGGGATAAAATGTTGGAATTCCATTAATATGTTTTATAGGGTATGTGATTGTATTTAGTGCAGAAGACGACCAGAGTGGCAGGTAGCAGGTCCCGAATTTGGCATATGACACTAGTGGTTCTTGTAGATGTGGCACTATAGCATTGGTATTTTTAGATAGAGTGGATGCAATAGAAATTCTTCCATGCTCCGAGATCACCACGTCATTTTACTGACATGGTACTCTCAACTAATACAAAACAGCCACTTGGAAATTGAGTAATTAAAAGAATACAAAAATGGAATTGACTCGCATTTAATTAGTTTCTCAATTAATTGTTTAATCTTTCCTTATTGATTACTAGCACCGGGTCCGGCCCTTTTGCCGGCTAGAGGCTCATTAATCCAGCCATAAGGCATCCAGGCTCAATTGACTTAAAGGCCCAACTTTTCCCCTTTACTTTTATAAACTGAGTAAAATTATTAAACTAAGAAATAGTAACCCAAAATCAAAAGACGAAAACGGTTCAGTTTCCTTCTTCTCTTCCACTCCTCTGTTCAGTCTCCGACGAAGACAACAAAGGGCCACCAAATTCATTGCATGGACGCCGTTCCCTGTCTTCCTGTCTGCGTGACCGACTGCATTCTCAGTTCCAGCGATTGATTTCCAAACCCTACCTCGCAACATCTTTTCTTTCAGTCTCTCAACAGCAGCAAAGTTTTTTCTAGCCTCTGATAATCCAGTCGACGTTGCCCAAAACGATTCCAGATTATGTGAAGGTATATGCATCTAAACCGGACTACGAATACTATCATTGAACTTTGTTTTCTCCCGATCTACTAACATCTTGGATTTCAGAAAGTGTTTCAGTTCGAGACTCCGACCAAAATCTTGCGAGCTCCACAGGTGCATTTGTTTCCATGGTTTCTCATACAATGTGGTTGGATCTATTAAAATAAGGAACATGATTGGTTATGATTTATTCGATTGTAACACAGCATTAATCCATAGTTGAGGAAGTATATTTCAATATTATTTTCTTGGATCTGATTACGTAGCGTGTGTTGCATACAACCAAACCACTGTATATTGTTTGTTTAATGCGTAGTGGAGTTCAGTCATGGGTATAACAGCTTCCATTGAAGTTCCATAAAACAGTATATATTGTTATAGTTAAGAATCGATTATCCATGTAAGAATCAAAGATGAATAAGTCAAAAGAAGTAAAATCCAGGTCCAATTGAAAAATTCATCGAAGGATTGACAGAGTCATGTCTTGCTTTGCTATTGTTTGTTTATCTTCCTTTGTACATGATTAGTTTATTAATGTAAGAACTCTAACCTCTTTTGATATAATTGATCGGAGTCTATTTGATATTGGTCAATTGAAATACGAATTGGTTAATAATTCAACATTGCAAGTGTAATATGCATTGTGGTCCCAAACAACAACTAACATTCTTTGTTTTTATGATCCTAAATATGGCAGCTACTTCCAAAAATAGAGATTGAGTAGAAGGAAATAAGTTTGACATATATTTGAACATGGATATCATACCTGAATGGAACCCGTGAGTAATTGCTTTTTAACCAACTTATAATAAACATATTCTTGTGTTCTCACCACTTCTCAATACAATTGCTAATATTGCTAATGATCTAAATTATAGGTTTTTTTTACCATGGGAGACGATTTCGTTACGAATCTAAATTATCAAACTGCCGTAGCAATTTCTCAAACCGTGGAAACTATAGATCTTATCCCAATGCAATTGGATGGTGCTCGTCAGGTGACTAAGATCACATGTTTGTTATCTATCCTTCTCTATATGTTATATCAATGATTTGCATCTGATTTGGTATTATTTTGAACTCCTAATGGTTTGGATTATATCAGGGCAACTCGTACATTTTCTCTGGCGTTGTAACAGAGTTGAGGAGATCTTGGTGTGAGGCATCGAGGGTATATTTGATTCACTTGACCATTGAAGATGACATTACTGATGTTGAGGTCGTTTTCCCATCAGCTTACTTACGAAGAATCATGTCTTCTGTTGTCAGTCCTTCTGAGCTTCAAAATGCGGACTATGTACACTTCTCAACTTGATTAGTGAGAAGGCATATGAGGTCTTGGTCACATTCGGTCCTTGGAACAACGTGGGGAATTATTTTGATCTCTTCTTGGTAAAGTTGTTCCCGCCTTTAGATAACTAAGTAGCATTGGGTATTATTAATATGATCGGATTAATGTTAGTAATGGTCCACCTCTCTGTAATCTCTAATGATCTGTAAGGGTAATGGATATGTGAACGCTACTATCTTTTGTAAGTTTATTATCCTTTTGAGGTGGTACTTGATGTAAAATATGAATTTAATTTAGTTATGGTACTTTGAACAAATTAGTCCTTTTTTGATTTTTCCCTCTATTATTATTACAAAAGTATTTATTTAATTCCATTGAATTATTACAACGTAAGAATTACATAACAGTGCTACTATTAATTCATTCTAGCCCCAAATCTCTTCCATTCATTATATGAGATAATGTAGTGAGACTGCCAATTGGCAAACCAATTTAACACAAATCAAAAAACAGAAATGGATAATTCACAAAGGCAACAAATGGTAGTTCATAAATGAAAAGAGCAAAAATTAACACTTAACCAAGTTCAAATAAATAGAACTTAGAAACATAGTCTGAAAGGTGCATTTCGTGTATTAGAACATCTAGCAAATGATATGTGGGGAACAACAATACGCAAAATAACCTAACCACCACTAAAAGACACTGATTGTTTAGTACGGTAATAGTGCACGAAGAAGCACATGAGATTTGCTTCCCATATAGCATGCATGGTGAAGTGTAAGGAAAAAACTAAAGGGTTGCCCTCTAATGGATTTCAAAGATTCCGCGAAGTGGTTGTCCCAGTGGTAATCTTCATTGATTGGCATGACGGCAAGTGTTATAGCTCTAAAAATGATTGATATAAATGAGACATCACAGTCTGCATAATAATCAAGAATTCTAAGCTGGATAATAAGCATCACATCGGTAATGTGTTGCATGAATAGTATATGGGATGAACTCAATTGAAAACGTTTAATTTGTTTTGTTAACTTACAGTTAAAAATTGATAAGTTATAGTAGTTATAAGGGAAGCTGAAATTAAATAATTGGGTTGTAATCTTGCAAACATAATAATAAGATGTTGCAACCATAATAATAAGCATTACATTGGTAATGTGTTGCAAGAATGGTACATGAGATGACCAGAAAAATGTAAATAGAAATACCAACTTAACCCAACAAAAAAATGACAACTGAATTTGGTATTTGAAATTTAACCATTAGAGTAAAAAAAAAAAATAGAACGCTTTATGAAATGAAGCTCATTATTGGAACCAAAAAATAAAAAAATTAATTATTCTGACTAAGTAGCCCCAGCCTGTCTGCTCTGTTAGGGGAGCCGTCAGATTGGGATTTTTCCTCTCTTCTCTCATCTCCTCGCCTGAGTTGCAATAGCGTGACAGATTCTAGAACTGACGACGATGGACGTCGGCGATGATTATGATAGCAGCGATGAAGGTAAGATATGTTTGGTTGGTTTGCAAGTCGAATTATTGGTACTTTCTTATGATTTAGGGTTCTGACATTTTAATTTTGTGGTTTTAATTATTGTAGAGGAAGAGGAAAGGGTCGCCGATTTGGATCTCTCGGCTGCCTGCTCTGATGGTGAAATCGCCAGCTCAAGACGTCCCGTCGCTTCTCTGGTCTCCTCGGATGGAGCTTCAACGGCCGGATTCGCGATGACACGGCTTCTCGTGGCGGCGAGAACCAACGACGATTGATGTCGGTGACGATGATGTTGGTGACGCAGCGGCTTCGGAAGAATTTTGGGATCCTTGAAAAATGCAACATTTCAACGCTTCAATTGGAGTCTGGAGATTTATCTCTTCTTCTGAAGAATAATAAAAGAACGAAAGCAAAAAAGAAAAAGAATAATAAAAAATCAACCTACCATAAAAGCAGGAGGAAATCAAAACTAACTCCTACATGGAAAGTAGAAGACATTTAACCAAAAAAAAGTTTTACTTGCCTTTAAAGAAATTATTTATCTATTAATGGCTTACCATTAATTAAAATGGAAAGTAGAAGCCAAAAAAACGTGCTGCCTTTGGGATTTGAACCTGTATCCAAGGAGTCATATTTCCACACTATTTTCGCTACGCCAAATGACATTCACTGGCTTTAATTTGGCGTAGAAATTATTTAATATTTTTAGTTTATACATAATATCTCAAACCATTATCGTGACTGTTGAGATTGGGGTCAAGGTTGTTGGATCCTTGAAGATTATAAATCTCGATCCATAATAACACTAAGGGATTTGGCGTCGTAGTATAGTTTTCGTGGTATAGTGGTCGACGTAGGACGTATCCCCATGCAAAATCTTATAAAATCTTATAGTTTTAGTTTAAATTAAACTAGCCAACTTGAATCTATGAAAGATGCGCTACAACGATACTTTTGTAGTCATCACCCTAACCCTAATTGTCACAAAAATCATGCAACAGATGATAAACATATCCAAGGTAGTTTAGGCAAGAGAGTTGATAATATGAAAATCAATGCAATGGATATGTCTTCCTAGTCGAAGCAAGGTTAGCTCAAATTTCAAGAAGGCTGGTTTGGGATCCTAGTTATGTAGTGTCATGCAAATTGGGGATCATTTGTCGCCCAAATAAGTTGTTGAATAGAATTGAATTATTGCGTACGAAAGCAGGCATTGTGTTTTATGGTTGTTGTCATACTAACATTGGTAGAGTTGTATGTCGTAGGGAGTGTGGTAGCCATACATAAAATTGACTGGGCTCCTTTTTTATTTTCAAAATGAAAAATTCCGTTTATCTAATGAAGTTTTAGTTAATTGGTGTCCTTAGATGAGCTAACATGAACGAAAGTATGAGGTCCTAAATTCAAAGGATCATATTAAACCTTACATATCTGAAGAATTTTGTTGCCCTGTTTTTTTCTCAACTGAGTCCTATGACCCCTCTCCTCAAGAGGTGGCTCAGCCACTGCCCGTAGGGTGTTTACGTATTCAACAATTGGAAAATGCAACATTGCAACGCTTAATTCTAACACAACGTGGTTAGTAATACAAGATTGATTTACGACATACAACGTTTTCAACAGATCTTGGTATTCTCATTGTTTACAACGTGTTAAACTATAGGAAATTAAATTGATTAAAGAAACTCTCATTGTTTACATAGGGACCAACTAACCATCCCCCATTGGCCCATTTTCCCTCCCTGTTTTTTGTTTAAAAATGAGTTATGTTAGCAGGAAAAAAAAGGAAACAATGCATGTTGACCATGTGTTCTCAAGCGCAGCCCATTCACAGCCCTTCTCTCCCACGCGCATTGGTTTTGGAAATCCAAACACTAAATTCCATTTTCCCCTTCCTTTCTCCCCAATCCAACTGTTCCTCCTTTCCACCATAACCAAGATGAAACCCTAGCCGTCGCTCATTACACATTCCCCCTCCCATTGTTCTCAATCACTTCTGTTCTTTCGCCTTGAACCCAAAGGGAAAAAAATCCTACCCACCTACCTCTTCATTCCTTCCTCTACTTGCCTCCAGGCTCTCGCTTCGTTGTGAGGGGTCTTCTTCTCTGGCGCGAAATGGGTGACGATTTGGAGATTGATGTCGGGGAGACAACTGTAAGGAGGAAGGTTCATATTTTACTCAAATAGATTTATGATCTTATTCTTGGTAGCTAATGAAGGCCTGACTCCAGTAGCCTAATCCCCTCGTTTGTTTTTGTTATTGTTTTTTTTTTGGTTTCCGGGGTGCGTTGGGCTAGTGGCATGGTACTGTGAGAATGAAAACATGTAAACTTGTAAGGACAGCGCAGAAGATCATCAGATGGAGTTCGGTTTTTCATAACGTTCGTTCTGGAAACACACGTCATATGATGATTCTTCTGCGCCGTATTGACATTTTCATGTTGTCGATCTCACAAAAACGAAGTTCGGTGGGTTGCTCAATTAGTGAAAGACGAATTTGGCATCTGATTTTCTTCTTTCGGAACAATATGTGACTTTTACCAACCTTGACTTAAGATGAATGCAACAAAGTTTGCAAAATATCATTTGAGGAAGTATGATGAGAACTTGATTTTCTCGGGCGCCGCCGCTGGATTTTATTGAAAAAACAACACCTAGCGGCCGCGCCTGAGTCTCGGGCATGAGCGCTTTTAACATACCAAAAAACATAATATATGTGTCAATAGTTGTTAAACCACCATATTCGTGGTAAATATAATAAAAACAATATTTAGGAAATTAATCCGTACCACTGCAGCCAACGTTAAAAAAAACCCAAAAAGGAAGCAGACAAAGAAGCGGGAAGCTCCGAGAATTCCGAAGAGGCGGAATCATCACCCAAGCAAACATAAAAAGGTTGCTAGCCATTAAAAATCATAAATCATCATCCAGTAACCGTGTAATACTTGAATCCAAACAATCCAGCTCAAATTAACTCCAATCAAATTACAAGATGGTTAATCTCAACATGATAGCAAAATAAGCCAACAAATCATATTTGTTGCTTTCTTTACAAATTCATTATAGTTCTTCATATCTTTTTCAGCTTTTTGTCATTCATTTCTTGTTTTTCATTTAAGCGATTTTTTTTCATTCAAGCAATCCACTATTACCATCATCTATTTTGTATAAGTTCATTTTTCTATTTAAGTCGCCCCTTTTGCTATCATCATATCATGAGCACTTCTACTATGCTATATAGTATTGGTGTTTTAATATACAACTTAAAGTTGTACCATAACATGAAATGTATAAGTTTAGGTTGTACCATAAAGCAATTTGTACTATTATGTTATGGTACAACTTTACAACTTGAAGTTGTACCATCACATAAAGGTACAAGTTCAAGTTGTACCATAAAAGAATTTGTACAAAAAATATAGGTACAATCTCAAGTTGTGCCATAATGTAAATGTACAATTTTAAGTTTTACCATAAAGACACACTACAAAAAAAAGGAGCTATACCAAGGGTTTTATTGGCCTGTAGCAGGGGTTTTAACCCCTGCTATAAATTGTAGCAAGGGTTTGTACAACCCCTGGATCAACCCTCACCTATGCTGCCCCTGCTATGGATAGCAAGGGTTTTGAGAAACCCACGGTGGAAGTTCCATCTAGGGGTTTTAGCAGGGGTTAAAACCGCAGCTACTCATAGCAAGGGGTAGAACCCCTGCTACATGACAGTTTAAAATCCAACAAGGAAATGTTCCTACCAAGGGGTTCTAACCCCTGCTACATGCGTTGTTAAATTAGCTATGGTCGGAACCCTTGCTAGTGAATGTTAAAGCTTCATTTGAATTACATTTATTCCAAGGGTTTAAACCCCTGCTGAATTGGTGGCTAATATAAAAAAAATTTGCGACGAAATCAGACCGTCCCTAAAGAGAATGCAAAGCTGTCACTAAAAATAAATTCAAAGCTGTCACTAAATAGGACCACCAAAGCTGGTGGTTATAACTTGGTTGCAAATACTATAGTCACTACAAATAAACTCAGAACCTAATATACAATAGTGACCAAATTCATACCGTCTTTCACTAATCCGTACCATACATACCATACAAAACCGTCAATATTCCATAATCCGTACCATGATTCATCATTTACCTCAAACATTCCATGTACCATAATATAATCCCTAAAAACATAACAACCTACTAGAATATTACTCAAAAGTACCTACATGATTCAACATCCTTCATCTAAGAGCTTCATCTAAGAGCATCACGGCATCAAGAAGCTCGAGAACCCAAAAATGGGGCAGTACTGGCACCCTGAAGAAAAGGAAAAGAATTATCAAACATTTACCTCTAACAAAATTGCTATAAGAGATTAAGAAACTGAAGCTGCAAAAATGCAGAGACAACACTTGAAAATGATACAAACAAGCTAGCACAACTATTATTATAAAAAAAGCAGAGACAACCGAGGCTAGCAAAACATAAAAGCCCAATATCTCTAAGCAAGAAAACTCCCTCGAAGAAGAACATAAAATGTAACTACTATACTAGTCAATCAACTCAAATACCATCATCCTCTACAACATATAATTAAAAAAAACACCATTCCTATGCAAACCATCATAAACGTTAATGGAACAAAAAATCCATAAGAAGTATGCTCTACCTCATTACAGTAAAGTAAAACATAAGATTCTACAAAAAAAAAAAAACATAAGCTGGCCATCATTAAGCTTTTTTCACCACGGATGATCCATAATTTATAACGAAATAGGGATCTAAACTAATGGCCAAACATTAGAGCACAGGAGCGGAGGATGATGAATTGCAGTCAAGTGCTAGGAGCTGTCACGCCTAGATTAGAGGAAGCAACAATTGACTATTTCAAATTTAGAACGATTCGATGACATGAACAGAACAAGGACCACACCAAAGACACATCGGAACTGGCAGATTTGTCATTTCAAGCATCTTCCGTTCAATTTTGCCCAGGCAACACCAAAACTACCTCAAACAAGAGAAAAGGAGGGGAGAGAAATTACCGGATTGTTTTCAGCATCTTCCATCCAATTTTGGCCAGGAAATTGCTTACTGATGAACCTTGCCATGACCTCCATTTTTTTCTTCACCTCACTTAACTCTCCTTTCAAAGTTGGTACATCTTCACTCGAATGACTACATGAACATGAGCATGATCCAGATGCAGCCCCACGCGAGTAAACTCCAAAATATGCGCTCTGAGTTGGCCCTAACCCCATGCATCGAAGCCTCCCAGGATGCTCTGGACCTGCTAGCTTCTGGAAAACCTCCTAACTAGGCCCCTCCATTTCATTTGCTTTATCCTGCAGCAAAATCACATGTTAGATAAATACCAAACACCACCAGCAGCACTACTAATCTACTAAAGCAAACT